TTGTTAAATGACATCTATTTGTGTGAATTAGTAAATAGTATTTGAGAAAGATATTTATGGTAATAATTTTATGGATGAAAAAGAGATAGTCATACCTCAGTATCCAAGGGATACCATGTCCCAAGGATGCTCAAGTCCATATATAAATGGCATTATATTTTTATATAATCTACACACATCCTCCTGTATACTTTAAATCATCTCTAGATGATTTATAATGCCTAATACAATGTCAAAGCCATGCAAATAGTTGATATATTGTTTATGGATTATTCAGTACAAATGCATTTAAAAAATATTTCTGATCTGCAGTTGATTGAATCCAGGGACACAAAACCAAGAAACATGGAAGGCTGACTGTTGCCACTGACCCTGAGGCTAACCCAATGGCCCCCTGAGAGACTGAATTTTATAATATCTGTTATTTGAACCAACACAATGATAACAACCAGAAGTAACCCGAGAAATATGTCTTTCACCTTAGAAGTGCCCCACATTAACCTACTAGCTAAATAAAATCACACTCTGGAAAGTGTCAAAACAAAATCCATAATATCACCTCCACCCTTACTCCCTTCAAACCTACTGCTAGCTCTGGACTTCTTCTCTGCAGAAATTCTGAAACTGTCACTAAGTGTCTTATGAATAATATGTCCCCAGATTCAATGTTGTTCCTTGATCTGGTTCCCTTTACACATCCAATGGAGCTAGGGATGATGAGGAGAGGTTGGCAGATACTAACAGTCTTTCTCTGGATCCCAGGTGGGTGATGCCGCACTCAACAGCAAGATCTGTGATCTCCTGCTCTCCAAGCATGGCATCTATGTGCAGGCCATCAACTACCCCACTGTCCCCCGGGGTGAGGAACTACTTCGTCTGGCACCCTCTCCACACCATAGCCCTCAAATGATGGAAGATTTTGTGGGTAAGTCCTCAACATGGGGGTCCACATACTTCCCCAACCTCATCCCAGGATCTGAAGAACAGATCTCATTCAATTTATATATATTTCCAGAACACCTACTGCATGTCAGTCTTGAAAAAATTGGGGTCACAAATCAGTGAGAAACAGATCTTAGATTTGTAGGTCTTCTGTTTGGTTGAGGAGAACATGGTAGACATAAAGATGTGAAGCAGTTATCAAGACTAAACAAAGACAGGGCACAGGGGAGTTGTAGAGCAGAGAGGAAGTTCTGGCAGGATACTAGACAGGCACCATGCTTGAGGTGTAACTTCAGCTTTGTCCTGCAATGTGAGTGATATTGACCCATGAGAAGAAGTGGTGGGGAAGAGGTATTCTTAGTAGAGGCAAGAGCATGATGGAAGGCAAGAAAGGGAGTTAAGAAGCAGTTTGGGGTTATTGTAACAATAAGCAGGTATTACTAGAATGCAGGGATAAACAGTGGGGAAGAAGAGTGTTAATGCATGAATCTAAAAAGATAGCTCAAGGCAGGAGTTGGACTGAGAGATGTATGGAACTGAGTCGTTAATCATTCACCTAAAGTGTACTGGATTCTTCTTGCATGTAGTTTTCAGCCCAGGTCTAGGAACAGAGCAGGTGCTCACTGCAGACCCACAGATGAGATATGCGGGTAGTCTCTGTAGTGTTACAAAATTACAAAGAGGGTATTCACTTATGGCTAGAAAGGATGGAAAGTCTGAATTGCAGAGGCTTTATGGGTGGGGAAGCCCTTTTACATGGATAATCAGGAAAGTCATTCCAGAATAAGGGAACCCCATGAGGAATGACATATAGACAAGCAAGCAGAAGGCATGTGTTGACAACACAGCCTCTCTCACCTCTTCCTCTGGCTTAATTCCCTTCATCTCAACTGAACTCGGGCAGATTTTGATTATTTAAACAAATACCTATCAAGAACATGCTAAATGCTAGACATTGTTCTAGGTGCTGGGGATCCAGGAATAAACTGACAAGAAGACACAAAATCTACCCACTGAAGCTTGTACTGCAAGGGGCAGGTCAATCGAAAACTCAAAAGTATTTTTTAAAAAGCAGATTCATAAATGTATTCGCTTTTCACTGCTTTAATGAAATATCTGAAACAGACTAGCATTGTAAGTGAAAGAAATTTATTTGGCAAATTGTAATGGTGGATTACAATGGTGGGAAGAAATGAACACATCTCAAAATACACAGAGAGACAGAAAGAGAGAGAGAGAGAGAGAGAGAGAGAGAGACTGATTGATTCAGAGATCAGGTTTGAGCTTCATAATTTATTCTTTTGAGTAGTCACTTCAGGAGACCAGTACTTCTTTCTGAGAGGATCATATCCAATGACCTAAGGCTCTCCCACTGGGCCCCGCCCAGAAAGGTTCCATCATCTCTCACTTCACCACATGGAGGCCTAAGTTACAAACGCATGAAACTTTTGAGTGTGGAGCACAATAAAAACATATCCAAATAATAGCAGATAACATAATAATTTTAAGTTCTATGTTTTAAAACATTTTTTTAACAGGATAAACAGGCAGTAAGTGCTAGAGACTGGGGTTAATTTGGAAGGCTATAATATTAGAGTTTCTAGTATAGAGACTCATTGAGGTGACACTTGAGCAAAGACCTGGTGAAGGTAAAGGAGTTAGTTAGGCAGGTATCTAAGGGAAGGGAATCCCAGGTAGCAGGAACAGCCTAAGGCAGGGAAGCCTCTGCATTCCTTTTAGATTTGAGATATAATGAGTGTACATTGAGTAATGTGAAGAACTAGATGACAGAAAAATTGAGCAGACTGAGGCAATGTGGAGTCAGATTATGGAGAGTAACCATAAACTGCTGGAACGATTTTTGCTTTTGCTGAAAATCTTTGGAAGGATATTAACAGAAGACTGACATCTAACTCAGGTTTTAACAGAACTGCTGACTTCTATGTTGAGAACACAATGAAAGGGAACAAGAGTTGACAGGCAGACACAACAGGGGGTTGTTGCAATATTCTAGGTGAGAAGCAATGGTAGCTCAGATCTGATCATAGTGATGGAGGTGATCATAAGTCGTCCTATTTTGAAAGCAGAGCCAATGGTATTTGCTAATATGTGGGTAAGAGAGAAAGTGAAAAATAAAGATGGTTCTAGCATTTTTGGACTGAACAACTTGAATTGTCATCAACTGATACGAAGAAGGCTTAAAGTAAAGCAGGTTTGGAGGGTAGAGACATGCGTAGCTCAGTTGTGCCTGTGTTCAGCTAGATATATAGGAAAGCCATTGATAGGCAAGAATGGATATCAAGAGAGAAGTCTGGCGTAGATATGAGGATTTCAAAACGGTCAGCATGTGATAGAGTTAAAAGCATGAGATGAGATCACCACGGGTATGAGCACAGAATACGTTCTTCCTACAACTGGTCCTCTGAATTGCCACACCTCCCAGAACACCCCCTCCTTAGGTTCCCTTGCATAGCACTGATGACACAGTCTTCCTCACCACGCTGGTTTTCAAGGACAGATTCACTTGTCCATCCATAGTACAAGTACACCAGGCCAGGCAAATATGTTTTCAAATTGTGTCAAGGAATGCTTCCCGATCTTTTACACATCCAGTAGCCACAGATGGTAACACTCAAGCAAAGAGATACTATTTCCAGCTCCAAAGAACCTCAAAGGGTTGAGGGAATCAGTATCATGGTACAGCTGGGGATTTAGAAAAGCTTTCTAACCCATTCTTTCCTTTCTCCTTCCTGCAACCTTTAGAGAAGCTGTTGGCAGCCTGGACTGAAGTGGGGCTGCCACTCCAGGATTTGTCTGTAGCTGCCTGCAATTTCTGTCACCGTCCCGTGCACTTCGAGCTCATGAGCGAGTGGGAACGTTCCTACTTTGGGAACATGGGGCCGCAGTATGTCACCACTTATGCTTGAGAAGCCAGTTTCCTCACATCCTTACTTCACCTGCACTTCTCTTGAAGCTGAGCCTCCTCCTGCCCTGTTTTGTTGTGTGCCTTTAGCTGACTTGAGCCTGAAATAAAAAGCAAACTGCAGCATCTATAGTCTTTTCTGAGAGAAAACAGGTAACAAACCTGACTCCCTCAAATTAGCAGATCATATATCACTTGTTGGCTGACCACACCCATTTTACTAACAGCGAATCTAAGATCCATAAAGGGGGAGGCAATGGCCATTGCCTATACAGCCAGTTCTACAAAGAAACAAGACGTTTGGCAGACTGATGTGAAATGGCTTTTTCCTATTGCTCTCAACAAAAATCCTTTGACCCAACCTCGGAACTCGAGCTCCAGGCAGCCCCTGGAGCTTGGACACACTCAGCCCTAACCAAACTACCTGGAGGGAAGCAGAGGCTCCTCAAAACTCAGGAGGTTAATTTCCAGAAAGGGGACGCTCTTCCTCATCTATTAGTTTTCTTCCCTCCCACAACATCTTATAGAATAACAATAACCAGTCATTTCCAAGATAAGAGTTGTGGATTTAGCAAGCAAGCTGTTCAAGATAATATTACCAAACTTTTCAGGTCACAGCACACAGCCAACAATAATGCGACACATTTGGAGGAATCTTCTCTGAGATGGGTGTGACTCCAGTCACTGTCTGTCAACCCTGTCTCCTTCCACCCTGTAACCCATCTGTGGCAGCTGGGATATACCTTCCCTGAATACTGGTGGCTGGAGGTAACATAGAGCCCACTATATTTCTGCCACAGTATACCCATCCATACCCCTTCCTGATCCCCCTTCAGCACTACAGGGAGCCCCTGCAATCCAGTAGGGCCAATATGCTTACTATCACTCACCTCTCCTCCCCTTCCCTGGGAGTTAGATCATGAGTCTGCAAGCAACTAGAAAACTCAGTATTGATATAAACTATACCATTCAGTACAAAAATCCAGTTTTGATATGAACTATAATACATCCAGTAACATATATAAGCTTTGCTACTCAGTATAAAACCCAGTATTGATATTAGCTAAAATACTCAGTATTAAACCCAAGATTGATATAAGCTATAAGGCTCTGAGTAAATATCCACTCAATGTGATACACTGAAACAGACACAGACTTTATTTATGCAAAACAGATTTCCCAGCAAGTAAGAACAAGTTTTAAAAAAACCACAGTGTTCTGAGGCAGCTGCTTCCCGTGTTCCGACAGGAAGGTGGGAAGAGGAGAACAGCATTAAGGGTAACAGCATTAAGGCACAATGAGCTCACCAACAAGGAGCTGAGCAGGAAGAGAGACACTGGAGGAAGAAGAGAGGAAGGGGAAGATAAGGAGGTAGAGGAAGAGGCAAGGAAGGGGACCTGGGGGAAGAAGGGGATAATCTCAGTAGCTCACCAGAGCAGCTGACTTCTGACCCTGTGAGCAGTGACCACATCACAATCCCTACACAGTGGCTCAGCTGGGCATGCACCAGAGGAAGAAATTACAGCGGGCAGAGGGGTCATTAGGAGGACCTCGGGGCCTGGCACACATGTAGAAGCGGCGGCCTAGGTTGGGGCCTGGCTTCTTCACAGTACGCATGACACATGGCTCCTTGTGGCCTGCACACAGGGGCAAGGGTGAGGGTCCCCCCAACACAGACTTCCAAAACGACATCTGTACCTCCTTGTTGCTTTTGACTTCTAAAGCTTTGGCCTGTCCTCCAACCACTTTGGCCATTGCCTCCTCTTCTGGAGCCTTTGGCATCACAGGGATGTCCGCCAGTGGCTGGCGAGGTGGTTCTGAGTCAGGAGAGGTTTGAGGATGGTTGGAGGAGGGCTGGAAGTAATTCATCAGGTTCTTCTGACCTCTGCTGGAACCAACTTGATGTGGCCGAGGCCGGGCTGAGCGGACACGGGCTTTGTTTTGGCGTACCTGTGTCCGAGTTTGATTGCCGAGCTGTGATGCTGACTCCTCTGATGTGGGAGCTTGTTCCCGGGGAACTAGGAAGCGAACAATCTTGAGCTGAGTGCCTGCAAATTCAGGGAGGAACCGGGTACACAGAGGTGGGCACTGCTTTGCAGGTAGAGAAGACACACTCAAGACTGCGCCCACAGGGCAGTGGTCTGAGCCCATGACCTCAGGCAAGAGGAAGGAGCTCTGGAAAGTGTCTATGACCAGGGTCCTGTCTCCCAGCACGTAGTCAAGCCGTGAACCATAGTTGAAAAGACGGGCGCCAGTGACCACCGACCAGCAAGTGAAAGCCCTCTCCTGCTTGGGCTGGAAGTGGCGGAAGCTATCAACAAAGGGCCCTCCATGAGAGCCATCCTGACACCTCGGGTTACTGAGCAAGCCATCCATCCATTTGCGCCCCGGGTCCTCTTCAAAGTACTCCTAGAGGAAGAGAGAGGCAGTAGATGTCTAACATTGGAAGGAACTGAACAGATTGTTTTATTTTGCAAACAAAATCTGGTTATCCCAAAGGACTACTGCTCAATCACACAGTGCAGAATTGACAAAGCTAAGAGTTCAGTTCCATCCTTACCAATGTAAAAGCCCATGCTTGTTTTCTGCTCTATACCAGGCTATGCTGATCTTGCATTGCAAATAAATAGCCAATCTGTTGTTTGCTTTCCAAAACAAAGGCAAACTGGATGCTAGAAGTGCTTTTTCCTAGAGAGAAGGGCTGTATGAGGAGTTAGAATGACATGCTCTTCTTTTTAAGCCTTCATGTGTTATTTGGTTTGTCTCCTGCATGCAAAGTACTCACTGATCATCCCTCCTTGTGGAGGTGGGAGGCTGCAGAGATCCATGTCTGCATAATACCTTCGGCTTTCATCTCATATGAACAAATGTGCATAGAACCCAGGTCTGATATTAGCAAAAAAAAAAAAAAAAAAAGTAGGGACCTGACACTGGGAATCAAGTTCAGCTTCTGTTCAGGAAGCGACCAGATTCATAAGGGCTGAAACAGGATTACTCAGAAAGATGTCACTATCAATTGCAGAACAGTCTCTGAGATGGAACTGTTGAAGCAGGGTGCAGCACACCTACTATGGTCTGAAAATGGTTTGTGTCCTCCCACAGTCATTTTTAATCCTCACTAGGACATATTAAGAGGGTGGAAACCAGATGCAGGCCTTCAACCTCGGATTTCCAGAAGCATGGGTCAAAATAAAACCCCTTTCTGTATAACTGACCCCATCTGTGGTATTTTGCTATTACCAACACAAAATGGGCTAAGTCAGGACTCAAACAACTTAAGGGGAAATCAGAGTTCAGAACAGAGTATCAGCAGGAGGCGACTGTCATTGTTCCTATAAGCAAGAGGTGATGGCTGCTTGGACAAGGCTGGTTCCAGAGGAGACAGGCAAATGAAACTGAGAGATAATTTGGAAACAGAATCAACAGCACTCACTAACTCAATGTGGAAAGGATGGCAAAGGCTATATGAGCATCACTCCCAGGCTTCTACCTGGAGCAGTAAAGGTGATGATGGTATTCTCCAGAGAGAAGCCTAGAAGAGCAAGTCTGTTGGGAAGTAAATATGTTTTGCTATTCCAGAAACAAAATGTTTATTATGTGAGCTGGTATTACTAGTTCTCTCTTCCTGGAAGAATAGAAGTAGGTACACTAACAAGATCTAGGATAGCTCTGGATAAAGTAGAGAAGGCATAAAGGTATACAATGCTATCACAGAAATCAAAAGGAACAGAGGAGATGGTGTTCGATGAAAAATGAGGCAGGGAGAATCTTACGGCTCATGTTGTAGGTGTTCACACCCCTGCCACCCCACTAGATTACTATCATCATTTTTTAAAAGATCTATTTATTTATTTGAAGGCAGAATTAGAGACAGAAATACACACACACACATCAATCTACCACTTGCAGGTGTACTCTGTAAATGGTCAAATCAGATGGGGATGGGCCAACTGAAGATAGAAGCCAGGAGCTTCTTCCAGGTCTGCCACTTATGTGCAAAAGCCCAAGACATGGGGCTACCATCTGTTTTGCAAGCACATTAGCAGGGAGGTGGATCAGAAATGGAGCAGCCAGGAATTGAACTGGAGCTCATATAGGGTGCTAACACCATGGGCAGCAGCTTAACATGCTATCCCACAGCACCAATTCTACCATTTTTTCATTATTTCATTTCTGCTTATTGTCCCAGCTGGCACCACATCTACTCTATGTGGTCCACTGGTTAACTAATCAAGAGATCTGTCCATGGTCCCTCTATTAAATCACATTCAGGGCTCAATTGAACTGTGCCACAAATTATTGATGCCTCCTTCACAAGGTAATCCAACATGAGATGTGGCATAGATTCTGGGTAGTAGTTCTTACAGCTGGATTCACAAGAATGTCACCCTGGTGGCTTTCAAAATCACTCTGGTCCCATCCCCAAAACAATCGGGTTTCATTTATTTGGCTTGCTGCTAAGATACTAATACATGTAGTCAGGAGTTAAGACCTAGAGGAACTCAGAGATTGGAGAAAAGACAGAAAAAAACGGGGTGTCAGAATGAAGAGCTTTTGCAATGGGTAACTGTCTGGAGGGGACAGAATGTGTTGGGAGAATGAGGATGAAAATGGACACAGGGTACAGACTAAAAAGAGCCATGAGTGTTAGGTCTTAATGTTTCACCTGCTTTAGAAGTACATATTAAAGGTCAGAAGCAAGAAGCATAGTGTGTTACAGAAATGACCAAAACATTGAAGGATTTCTAGCCCTCTACTGTACATTTTCCATAAACATTTTGAAGCTGCTTCATACATCAAAGAAACGTTTAATGTCATTAACCATCGGGGAAATGCAAATCAAAACTGCATTGCCTCTGTTAGGATGGCTATCCTCAAAAAGTAGAAAAAAATGACAAAGCTGTCAAGTATGTGCCATACAGTTAGTGGGTATATAAACTGATACAACGACTACTGAAAAGACTACAGAATTTCCTCAAAAAACGAAAGGTGAATTTCCCAATGAAACGAGTGGACATACAGCCAAAGGAAATAAATCCATTGAAGTGTTACTTCCACTCCTGTGTGCACTGCAGCACTAACAAATAACCAAGACAGAGTACATGTCCACAGACAGATGAACACTGATAGATGAATGGATAAAAAAGAGGGGGTGCATCTCTGCCAAACAGAGTATTATACAAGAACGGAATTCTGTTATTTGTAGCAACATGGTTGAACAGGATACTACACTAAGTGAAATGAAACAGACAGAGAACAAATTCCACGTATCATAACTCATGTGGAAGCTAAGAAGTTGATCTCATAAAAGTAGAGGAGAGGGCCCAACACAGTAGCCTAGTGGTTAAAGTCCTTGCCTTGCACGTGCTGGGATCCCATCTGGGTGCCGGGTTCATATCCCAGCTGCTCCACTTCCCTTCCAGCTCCTTGCTTGTGGCGTGGGAGAGCAGTAAAGGATGGCGAAAAGCCTTGGGACCGTGCACCCACATAGGAGACTGGGAAGAAACCCCTGGCTCCTGCCTTTGGATCAGCTCAGCTCTGGTCATTGCAGCCACTTGGGAAGTGAACCAGTGCGCAGAAAATCTTTCTCTCTCCTGCTCTATGTAAATCTGACTTTCCAATAAAAATGCATAAACCATTTTTTTAAAGTAGAGTAGCATAGTAGTTACCAGAGGCTATAAAGAGGAAAGGGTTGGGGGAGAAAGAAATGATAGCTTAACAGATATGAAAATACAATTAGGAACAAGGATTAAGTTCTAACATTCTATAGTACCACAGTTAATAATAAGTTATTGTATATTCTAAAATAGCTAACAGAGAAAGTTTTGAATGCTCTCAACACAAAGAAACTGATGTCTAAGATGGATTTGTTAACTGTCCAAATGTGATCATTATAAATCCTAAGTGTATCAAAATAGCAGAAGGTACAGACACTTGGTACATCCCTCATGTAACTGGTTTCAGTCCCAGCTCCACTGCTGCTTCTAGCTTCCTGCTGAGGCACCCCCTGGGAGGCAGTGCAGGATGGCTCAAGCGGTTGGGGTCCTATCACTCACATGAGAGTCCCCAACTCAATTCCTGGCTCCTGCTTGGCTCAGATTCAGCTGTTTCAGGCATATGGGCAGTAAACTTCCAGCAGATGTAAGATTCCTCTCTTTGTCTCTCAAATAAAGGAAAATACATACTTTTTAAAACTATAACATACCCCTATAAATATGTAGAACTGTGGGTGAGTCTAAACAAAAGGATAGCATTTCACAGGAAATTACTCCAGGGCCAGAAATCCAGTATTTGTTGGCAGGATGAACAGAATCACACTTCCAAGTGGGACCAGGTCTTCAGAGGGAACCTTACCATGTTGATGGCATCACAGTGGTCAATGGGGCGGTGGGCAGTATTCAAGTCACCCAGAATGATCACATGGCTGAAAAACAAAGTAAGATCATCAAACTGACATTCAAGAAAGGGAGGCAGAGGTACTGGCCAATGTACTTTCTCCCAGGCCTGTGAGCTGAGAGAAGCTACTTCCCACACTGAGGCTTTCTAGTCAACAGCTAGAAATCTTCCCTCACCAATCTTACCAGTGATGGTTGCCTTGCACACCTGACCAACCTAAGCCTGACTTCCAAAGGTGATTCTATTCCCTCTTTGCACAACTATTTCACTGATCTCTACTCAACAGCATCTTTCTTGTCCTTCAAAGCTGGGTTGAGGTACTCCTCCTCCAGGAAGCATCCCTTGATTACTTCAATTCATGCTCACTTTCCTAGATCAAGACTTTGTTTCGTTCCCAAGAACTCATCTCATTTCATCTTTAAAACACATATTCTGTGAGGCAGGGATACACACACTCATTTGGCAGAAGAGAAGTTTGAGGTAACACAAGCCTGGGAACTCATAATGAGGAAAGAAAGAGCTAGAACAGGCACTCCAGAGTGTAAGGCTTATGTCTGTGTTACTTTATGTTGGCCTCACAGCTCCTCAGAGTAGGACTTATTCAAACAGGCACAGTAGTGTGCGCATCTAGGCTGTGAGGAGACTCAGAGTCCATATCCCATGGAGTTTGACACATGCCTGGGCAGACAAGTTCAAGGAAGCCTGGCTGCTCAGGCTTGCGGTACCTGCCAGATGCCAGAAGGGCTTCTGCTCGGATCTGCAGCAGGCGATAGAAGCGCATTTTAAAGGTCAGTCGTTCAGGCTTCCCAGGATCCGCGTGGGGGCAGTACACGTTGATTAAGGTCAAGGTCCTCTCTTGTCCTTCCTGAGTACTGGAGACACAACAAAGCCCCCCAGCCCCAAAAGCGATCACTTTCAAGACTTTCCTCCCCTCCCCATGTCATATGGCTTCCACTTAGCAGTTGGATGCAGGAGAGACAAACAGAGCTGGACAAATCAGCAGGCATGCACAGGACTTGGGGATTGACTACAGTTGAGGCAGAGATGGGGCATCTAGGAAGATAAGTAGATAAACCAAGTGACAGTATTGCCATTCCTAAATAGAACGGCTAGAAAGAGAGCAACCTGAGGCACTGGCTGAGTCCACGGGTGCCTAAGACTGCTGTAGAGATGAGAATTCAACACATAGAGTGGAACCTGATTTGCCAGCATAAAACAGTGAGCAGCCCAGCCAGAATGAGGGTCCAGGAAAAGCAACATTTTCACAGTGAATGCTAGTTTGTTTTTTTTTTAAAAAAAAAAAAAAAAAAAAAAAAAAAAAAACCTTAGAATCTCCACAACAGTACTCAATGGCAGGGGAATACGGGTCATTACCGGATCTTGTGTTGTGTGAGGAGGGCCCGGCCCTCACTATCCAGAGCCCGGAGCTCATCTTGGGTGAACTCATCCATGTTTCCATAGCAACCCACGTCCCCATTCTGAGTGGCAAACAGGCCACTCAAGCCTTCTTCAGCAGCCTCTGGGGTAGCGCTGTCCTTACAGAAGGTGGCTACACCTGCAGACAAACAGGTTCCTCTGAGCAGGGCTGGTAACCAACAGGCTGTTCTCTCTGTTTCCATGGAAGTAACTTGAGTTATCTTCACAAATGTAGCTTAATAATATTATGTATTGACAACTCTGCCAATTCAAGGGCCAAAGATAGCTCCCTGAAGCCTGTAGCCACTTTACTCAAACCTTGAAGTCTCAATTCCTTAATCTAAAAGGTCAAAGAGGTGCTGGAGTCTTGCCACAACAAGTATCTGAAACAGCGAAATGTCATATGGGTACTGGTTCATGTCCCAGCTGCTCCACTTCCAATCCAACTCCCTGCTAATGGACTGGGAAAAGCAGAAGATGATCCAAGTACCTGGGCCCCTGCCACCCACATGGACAGCCCAGAAGCTCCTGGCTCCTGGATTTGCTGCGGCCCAGCCCTGGCCATTGTTGCCATCTGCTGAGTGAACCAGCAGTGGATGGAAAGGTGGAAGATCTCTCTTTCTCAATAACTGACTTTCAGATAAATAAATGTATATTAAAAATGAGACCACAGAATAGTAACATGTAATATTCTAATGGTTTTCAATGGATTCATGGTAAAAGCTCAAAATTGCTAGTTTTATTATTACCATCACATGGATTAATTCATTTAATCCATGTAAAATCCTACAAGGGAAGTAATATTCAATCCCAGGCAGTCTGGATCAAAAGCTCACATATGCCTCTACACTCCGAGGTCTAATAGAATAATTTTCTATATAAGAATTATATTTCAGGGCTGTGTACAATGGCTCAGTGTCTAAATCCTCACCTTACAAGTGCTGGGATCCCATACGGGTGTCTGTTCATGTCCTGGCTGCTCTACTTCTGACCCAGCTCCCTGCTAATGCCCTGGGAAAGCAGCAGAAGATGGCCCATGTGCTTGGGCCCCTGCTACCCATGTGAGAGACTTCTGAAGAAGTTTCTGGTTCCTGGCTTTGGATCAGCTCAGCTCCGGCCATTGCAGCCATTTGGGGCATGAACCAGTGGATCTTTCTCTCTGTTCTCCTCTCTTTAAATCTGTGTTTCCAACAAATCTTTTTTAAAAAATCAGAACTTTTAAAAAATTACATTTCATATATCTTTAGTCCATAACCCCAATGATTAAAAACCTAAATTAATTTTAAGATTTATTTATTTTACTTGAAAGTCAAAATGATGCACACACAGAGAAAAGGAGAGACAGGGATGTTTCATCCACTTGTTCAGTCCCGTTACCTGCAATGGCCAGGGCTTGGCTGACCCAAAGGCAAGAGCCAGGAGCTTCTTTCGGATTTCCCGGACGTACAGGGTCCCAAGGCCTTGGATCATTCTCCACCGTCTCCCAGGCCACAAGCAGGGAGCTGGATGGGAAGCAGTGCAGCTGGGACACCAACTGTTTACAGATGCTTACAGGTAGAAGATTAGCGAATTGAGCCATCAAGCTGGGTGTAAGCCTTAATTTCTCTCAACTTTTCACAAACTGTTAGAAATAATTTCTCTTTCCCTGCCTCCATTACTGATTTAAAGTCCCCAGAATGTCCCAGTTACCGGAATAGCCACTTCGGTTTCGGCTGAAGCTGAAATAGGAGTTATAGCCCTCAATGATAGCCAGGGGCTCAGTCAGCACATCTCCTGCGGGGAAACAAGGCGAAGTCATAGGTAAAACTCAGGCCACACAAAAGCTAGAAATTACAGTTGTAGGATAATTTCTTACACAGACCCCAGCTTAGCGGAGAAAATAAAGCCTCTATAATTAGAGGGGGAGCTAGGATGGTAGGAAACCTCAGAGAGGAGATGGAAAGCTAAAATGGAAGATAGAGGAGGGATAGACTATGGAGTAGCAAGTAAAAAACTAGTTGGAAATCAAGGGCATCAGAGCTTGGTTTGGAAGTCTAGCTGACGGAAAAGTTGAGTGGATAGGAAACATGGGATGAGGCAACTGGGGATCTGTGCTGGGAATGGGATGTCAGAGAGAGCAAGTTAGAGGATCTGGACTAGGGATGGAGGGATGGGGGAGGAACTGGGTCTGAGAGCATGGCAGGAAGAATGGGAAAGGTGGGATTTGAATAGATACGGGGATTTCCAGGGAGAGAATTAAAGTCTGGCTGAGGGCAGGAGATGCAGTCAGAATTAGGGGATCCCCTGGGAAATGGGAGCATGCAGGGAACTGACAGATACTGGGCTAGATGTGAGAATAAGAGACTCAGAATAAGGAAATGGGAAAATGAAATGAGACGGGGGTTGAAGCAAAAGTCAGTCGGGAAAGTCAGGATTCCTGAATGCTCACTCGTCACTTTGGTCTCCTGCAGACAGACGATATCGGCAGCCAGCTCGCCCAAAATGCGTCCCATGGCCACCGCGGCACAGCTGGCGGGCTCCTGGCATGCCACCCCTGGTATGGGGCTTCGGATCCCATTGATATTCCAGCTCACCACTCGCAACATATTAGGAAATAGGAGAAACAGCCACTCCGCGCCTAGGGCGGGAAAACAACTTGCTGCTCCGCTTGGTTGCTTGACGTGCCCCGCCTCCCGAGCGCATTTGCGCAGGCGCTCTCGTACGTGCCACCGGAACGTCAAGCGCACGCGGGGCGGAGCTTCGAGTCCCCTCATTCTCATTGGCGGGAAGAAAGACAGGATGGAAGATGAATCGGGTGCTTCCGATTAGGAGAAATGAATTACCTACGAAAGGTCTCCGATTGAGTTCCTGCTTCTCGGGCCTCGCAAATAGTCCGGACACCCAACTCTAGGTTTCTGCTCTGCAAAAAGTCCCCTTGAAAACGTAATTACAAAACGGATTCCACCACTTTGTAAGCGACGGAACCGCGCCGCAAGTGAAGCCCCGCCCCCAGTACGACAGGCCGGATAGCAGCGGCGCCAGAGTCCCAGGATTGCTGTATGCTAAGTGCTCTCTTGGGGTGGGGCGAAGGGAACTTAAAGGCGGGAGATGACAGCAGTGAGAACCCTCTACTGGGCTGAAACTTCTGAGGAGTGGCACAGATTTTATTGGGGGAAGGGTCAGTAAGAGGCTGTCTCACATATGCCCTGGAGCCGTTATTTGTTTTGTGCCTCATATAACATCCTGAAGGATGTCCCTAGACACGTACTAGCTCTCCGCCCCGTTTCTCAGGAGTAAAGGCGAGACAGTGAATTTAAGCTCCAAAGCATCATTGCCTTCCAATGCAACTATGGCTCTTTTGTAAACATTATCTCTTCCCATTCTGAGAACACAGTAAGGAGATAAGTAAGAGCGGTTCAGGCAATCCAACTCAGTTTTCACTGAAGAGGTAAAAATAAGATTCAAGCCCTAAATTACTCAGTTTGCAGATAATTTTCACTGCCTACATACCTCTGCACTTAGATTTTTCCCCTCCAGTTCCTTACAGCACTCTATGGCCCTTCTTCCGATCACTTAACCCCAAACACAGCTACACTGTTGTCGATGTCCGTTGGCAGTAGACTGCCAGCAACTTGACAGCAGTGACCATGTCTGATTCATCTTTATAATTACTGTCACTAATAAAGGACACAGCATGTATTGGAAGACAAAGTATTTATTAGATAAATCTGCAAAGAACAATAGAATAGGTGTATTTATAGCTTGCTTATGGGAGCATAAAATTAAAAAATATTAGACATACTAATGTCAAGAGAAACACAAAAGTTAGCATCTTTTCATTTCTTACCCAAAATTACAACACAATTATTTTCCCCCATAGAATTCCACAGACTTAAAACCATCTTACTCAATGCTTTAAAAAAAGGGGGGGGGGGGAAGAGAGAGAGAGAGACTGGTTTAGCTACTTTTCCTACTCAAGGACTTAAAAGTTATCTGCCAGTTGTTGTCATTGGAAAGCAGCTCTGTAATTAACATTTTTTAAATTTTGCCTTGAGCTTTTTCATGCTTTGGGGGTTATGAAGTCAGGAACAAGTCCCAGAAGTGGGATAACTAGGACAAAGGAAAGGAACATGTTTGTTGCTCTTGCTTCATACTGCCAGATTACTTTCCAGTAAGGGATTATGCCCATTTACAGTGAAAACTGATCTAAAATTCAGCCCCAAGGAAATGCAGATCTTGCCTGTCTCCAGAGCTGTTTCTAATTTCCCCATTCTGCGGTGGCTTGTTAATATTAGTTCTGACCTTTGGGGCAATGTGAACACATGGTTGGACTGAAGAGTAAAGGCTCCGGTGGCTCAGGAACTTCTTTGGCAACTACAAGAGCTGATATTTCAACAGAGACTACACACACACATACACGCTTGACAAGGGTGCTTCCTCGGCCTTCCCAGGAACCAACACGGAACGCCTCCAGACTCCCTCTTTGATGAATCCCTCCGCACTGAATCTGCTTGGGGGTCTATACATGCAAGATAGCCGAGTGCTGGATGATTAACGATGGAACAGAAAGCCTTGCGGAGAACAGGTAGGTGAGAAAGAGGGAAAGGTAGATAGGAATTTCAGGATCCGAATGCATTCTTCGGGTTCTCTGGGAAGCTTTCTTTGCATAGTGGATAGGTTGGATTATGAATTAGAAGCTGTGTGGGAGTGGGGAAGGGTGATCTGTACAAGTATATGTAATCTATCCATATACTTCTTGCTGTTCATTCTTGACTTGCCTTTATAGGACATTGGCTCAAAGGACAATTCTCTTTAACTTCATCTATTTCAGTTTTGAATGAAATGTGTGATAGTGATTAATCTCTTGCCTCCACTTTGGTGCATACAGTAAGGTTAATTTTCTGTGATACTTTGGACAAGATTTGTAGCTTCTCGGGGTATCAGTAGCTTCCTTTGTAAATCGGAAGAAACAGGTGTGAGAGGACAGGAATCGAAGTGTTTTGAAGACATTTCCACATCTCTACCCTCTGTGTGAGGTTACTGATCCTCTTTTTCTGTAGCCTTCACTGGTAATGCCACCCACAACCATCTGACTCCTCTTCTTCCTGCATGAATGCAGTCTGAAAAGTCACTCCTAGGACTAGAATCCAATGAGCTTTGGGGCCCTAGGCGTGGGACTGAAAATAGTGGGGGGGTGGTGACACATGGCAGTGGCCAGGAAGTAAGTGCACCCTCGGTTACTCCCATAGAAGGACTGATATTAATATGCATGTACCTAGCCTTGTAAGCATATGGCTAGTGTCCCCCTCAGGCACCTAAACCATCCCTCCCCCGACCCGACACACAAATATATCATCTCTGTTCACTCTGAGAATCACCTGACCCCATTTATGCTTTTATTAAACATCATGGTATTGATGGTGCTTTGGGTGGTTCCACCCCACATTGTATGTTTTAGGAGGGCAGGTCAGGATCTAAGGGCCTTGGGAAGTTTTGCTATTTACTTTTTCCTTAGAGGTAACCTCATTTTAGAATTTTCAACTCATCGCTTAGCTTTACGTGAAAAGTCTTATACTGAGTGAATCTTTTTCTGCCACCAGTTCATTGGCCCTTTCTCAGAGGAGACTTAATTCTTTGGTTTATTCTGTTCAATTTCATTCATAATTGAGAAACATTTCTAGATGCCACCTGCTACCTCAGACCAATTTGGTTCCCCAGGCCACTTCCCTCTATAGTTCTCTGTTGTGTACCTTGTTTAACTGGGACTACTTGTGAACCTGTTTATTTCATCTAAGTCGGAGAGATGTAGACTATATGGAGGCTCATTGAGGAAGTCTCCTCTCTGTATCCAGCCTGAAGTGTACACAGAACAAATCCCCAGTCACTGAGACCAAGTCCCTGTGCTCAAGAAGGTCATAATCTAGTGGGGATAGCCCCAGGAATATAGTTTTGGATAGTTGCTCAAACAGTTTGGAGCATATCGACAATATTAGAACGAAAGACAAAACCTGGCTAAAGGATTCAGAGACAACTTCCCAGATAAAGGGAGCATTGAGTCAGGCCTTCATGCATGAGTCCAGTTTCATTAAGAATGGAAGGGAAGAGAAAACATTCCAGGTTGAACAAAGGTACAAAAATGATGTGTCTAGGGCCCTAGTGAGTCGGCCAGTCCAGTTTAAGCACAGTGTCTGAGACATGACTGGATAGGTATCTGGTCAGTGACTGAGATGAGCCTTTGCTGTCAGACTGGGACTTTTCCATCAAGCTTATTTTGTTCTCCTTCTGGGATGAGAAATGTCATAGCTGGTTCCAGGCAGCTTTAAGTTGAATTTTCAAGCTTGGAGTCCAGGGTTACCCTTTCAGACGTTGTCAAAAGTCCTGTAACTACCTGTCTCAGATTTCCTGCTGCTAAAATTATCTTTCTGCCTTTTGGCAGGATCATGAGGACGAAATTATAAACACAGAAGAGGTGTTCATGTGACTGGCTAGGTTACCTTAGATAAGCCACTTCCCCTGCCCCCAGTCAAGACCTCAGTTTCTCTATAAGATTAATAAGCATGTTTGTAAACAGATAGGATAAAGGATATGTTGTTTTGTGAACAGTGAAACATATATGAAAAGGCTATCATTACTAGTTATGCTAGTTAAGAGACTTACTAGGATTAAATGAGCTGTATCTTCTAGAGACTACTTCTGAGACTAGCAGTTTTGAGATCATCTGGAAAACAATACTGTATTTTGAAAAAGTATTTACTTTTAGGTGACACATGAAAATTGTACATATTTATGGGAAACAGTATGATAATTCATTAGATATGGTCACTGTGCAATGACTAGATCAGGATAATTTTCATATCCATTACTTCAAACATTTTTCACTTCTTTGTGTTGGTTGCATGCTGATGTAGAAAGGTTTACAAGCTACTTGGAAATATACAATTGATTATTATCAATCATAGTGAGTACTGTGCTACAGAACATTAAAAGTTACTTCTCCTATTCAAGTGCACCCCTGTCCACATTAACTGTGCTCTCTCACCCACCACCCTTCCCAATCTCTGGAAACCAGTGCTTTATGTTTATGAAATAAACTTTAGAAACTTCTGTATAAGTAAGAACATAAGGTGTTTTTCTTTCTTTCCCTGATTTAACTCACTTATCATAATGTAGAAGATCACATCCTTAAATCAGGCAAGATTAATCAATCAACCAAAGAAAATCCTTGGACTGGAAGAGATCAGGTTCCGTGTTCTACTCAGGCTTTGACCACTGACTTGCCACATGACCTTATAGAAATATTGATCCTTTCTAGACCTCAGTTTTCTTTCTTGTGCTTTTCAATTTTATATTTACTAATATAAACAGAATGGGTACACTTCCAATAAGATAACCGCACTTCCCTCCTGAGACTTCAGATTTCTGAACCTAAAGCATTAAATGAAATGATATCCAGATGAAGTTTCAACTTCAATGTGTCATTTCTCCAGACCAGGAAAGCAAAAATTAGTTCATATAAGTGAGAACATAAGGTATTTGGACTCATAGCAACTCTTTGTGTTGTAAATGTTAACACTGCCATAATACTTTGTTTCTTTTAGTCAAAGCTAACTGAGCATTTCCTTCACAAGGGGAGTAACAGTGCTACTTGATCCAGTATATATTTAGCATTTTCCAGGTTGCTTTATATGTATTAACACATTGCATTTATTTGAAATGCAGAGTTACAGAAGCAGAGAGAGAGGGAGAGAGAGGGGGAGAGAGAGAGAGATCTACTTGTTCTCTTCCCAAATGGCTGCAACAGTCACGTTTGGGCCAGACCAAAGCCAGGAGCCAGGAACTCAATCCTTGTCTCCCACATTGGTGACAAGGGTCCAAGAACCTGGACCATTTTCCATTGCTTTCCAAGGTACATTAACATGGAGCTGAATCTAAAGCAGAGGAACCAGGGCTCAAACCAATGCTCATATAAGATGCCCATGTTACAGGAGGTGGCTTAACCTGCTCAGCCACAATGCCAACCCCAACACATTGAATTTCAAGCAGTCCTAATTTTTCTTATGATCCAAATTAAAGACAAAAGCAAAAACATAAAAACCTGAGACACTGAACTTTTGATTGAATTCATAGCCAACAAGGGACAGAGTTTGGACACTACTGTGGTCATACAACTCCAGAGCCCATAGCTCTTAACCACTGTAATTACCTGCGTTGCTAGATTCCTTTAGATAGGTGGGCTTGGAATGAAGTGAAAGTCTGGCATGATTTCTGTGGAGGAATTGGAAAAATCTAACCCTTGTGTAGACTAGGGCTCTGATAATATATTTTAGGGAGCTGCTTTAAAGAAAAAAACTGGAGCTGACAGCATCTGAGGTCAGAAGTTGGAGATTTCAGTCCCCAAAGGATTGCTCTTGTGTAGCCCAGTTCAGTGGAAGAAAGTTGAGCTTTCTCATAGCCAATCACTAGACGTCCATCGGGGGAGGGCAGGTTGCGAAAGAATGAAGTAACCACGCACTTGGATATCTTCCAGTCAACAAGCTCTGCAGTTACAGTTCTACAGATAAAAGCCTCAAAATAACTGAGGATGGGGAGAGGTGGAGGAGTACTGGTAGATGAAGGGGGAGCATCGGGTAGGGTAGCTCTAGTGTATGGACTCATCCTGCTTTGAAGCTATTACCCCATTCTCCCTTACATGGTTCCTGCTGTAACCTCACCCTCCTAAAGCCCCATCCCCAGTCTTTGCATGAGGAACTTTAGCCAGGTTTTAGATCACGTCACAATGTCTGTCTCTCTGAGGCGGGTGATGGCAGTTGGCTGTCATGTGAGCAGTATTTCCCATCTCCCCCGCCCCCTCCCCAAAGCAATGGCTGTACTCACTCCTCTTCGTAAGATGTTGGGAAGGTGGTACTCTGATTTATTTAGCTTTGGATGGGAGAGTATAGGAGCAGATAGTGCCCATCTCTCCAAGAGTGCCGTGGGCAGCACATTTTAGGAGAGAGAGGACCTAAATAAAGCAGGGGAGGCAGTGCGATCCAGGGAAAAGCAAAACTTCGTTGTTTTTTGGTTGGGGTAGCAGTGAGGTAATGGAATGTCTACTTGCAGTTTAGGACCTTTAATTGCTACCTTAAAACATTGCATTTTCCATGTTTTTGGACTTAAGAACTTTGTGCTTTGAATGTGGATCTATTTCTAGGGCAACTTTCTACTCTAGTTTTTTTTTTTTTTTAATTTCAAAACTGTGAAAGCTGCTGAGACCTATCTCCAACACCTTTGCTTCCCCACCCCACACGGAATATAAGCGCATGATCTTTGGTCTTTTATTTGCATATTCTACTAGTCCTGTCTTCATTGGAGGGAAGTGACTGGCCAGACCTGGGCTGTCTTGTTAGCTGCCTTTCTTGCTGGGCTTCAACTTATCTCCTATGTACACAGCCCTTGGAGTTCAGAGGCCTCTGCTGACCTCTGCTCAACCTCTCATTCTCTGAATCCAAGCCCCCAGTGGTACAGACAGGACCAGAGACAGGCAAAGAATAGAGGGAAGGAAGAAAGGGAGCTGGAGATAGGCTGTAAGAGGAGTCAGAAGTCCCC